GCAGCAGCTGAGAGTTGCACTAACTGATCACGAGTTTCACTGAAAATTTCAAGTTGGCTAAAAGAGGGCTACAGCTAWAATTTACATCACGATCCCCGTTTTAATTGATATAATACTAATAAAAACATCAGAAAAACTGCTAAGAACACAAACATTTACAGTACCTACAAACCTGGTATAATTTAAGACATTTAATTAGAATTATGACTAATCAGAAATTACTTCATGACTAGTCACTTTAGTTAAGGTTAGAGTGAGATGTTTGCACAAAGCGCATGTGTTTCAGTACTTACTCAGTCAATTTCACACATTTACTGTTGCTCGTGCTGGAAAATGTCTTCTCAGGACACGGACGACACACTGTGTCCTGAGTGTGATTCCCTGAAACACAACAGGAACTGTTAGACAACAAACCCTCCAGCATGATCGACAAATAAAAGGAGCTTGTCAGTAAGAGAYGACACACCTTTTAAAACCAAGTCCTGACCCGGCTGACAGGTCGTGTGCTGAACGCAGGTGATGCACTCTTTACTGGAGCAATGGTATCCATCTTTACACAAACAGGTGCTTTTCTCTTTACTGCTCACAGGATCTGGAGCCTGAAAGTTTTTATCTGGAAGGAGAAGCTTCCACTTGTCAGATGAACAACATCCAACTAAAACAACTCTGAACTGACAGAGGGTCTTACTGGGGTCACAGTACGGCTGCCGTTTACACCTCTCATCTTTGTTGTAACGGTCCTGGTACTCATTGACTCCACAGACCACACACACAGGGTCATCACAGCTGCCGGATGATGTCATCCTTTTCCCTGAGAGGAAAGTTGTTCACATTAGTGTTTAAGTTACTCAGGTGGGCAAGCTTCACCTCAGTGGGAGGATCATCCTCTACTGTGTTAAAGATGCTGTACCCCCTCCCCTCATCCCACCTGTCCACCACTGTTATTACTATGACTGACCTACAGCATGCATAAATCTGGGGCCGGTCTAATAACAGTTACTAATTTCAGAGGTCTTCAGGATGTGGCAGCTTTAAACACAGCATGGCTTCAGGTAGATTTGTGTTTTAGCAGGTTTGGTCTCTTCGTCCTCATCAGGCTGGATGATTTAATCCAAAGGAGTTTTATTGTTAACATCTGTAGCTTGAAAAAATCCATGTGCCATTGTTCCTAATCTTAATCTCTGCCACGTTGTCCTGACCCCTCCCCCTTACCCTAACTCTGGAGAAGAACACAGAAATACAGCAGTATGAAGTGGTACACACAGTGTTAAAACAGTGTTAACACAGTGGTGCACACAGTGGTACACACAGTGTTAAAACAGTGTTAACACAGTGGTGCACACAGTGGTACACACAGTGTTAACACAGTGGTACACAGTGGTGCACACAGTGGTACACACAGTGTTAAAA